TTTTCTTTTCAGACAAATGTTTTCCTCTTGGTATTGTAATATCAAGCCCAGAAATTGTTTGAAGACAAGAGGTATTTCTTCAACATCTTCAAAATTCAGAGGTTTAGGGTGTCAGATAAAATGGGCCTTGAATTTATTCTGTAAAAATATCATATTAAAAATGAATGCATTTTAAATTTAAAAAAATGTTATAAACAGTTCAAGTAACATATCTTTTTAACAACTGAATTTGAAGCAAATAGAAAGTTTTGCCACTGGGCTGCCCAATCAACTTCAGCAATAAGATACCACCGCACAGCACAGAACAAGAACAGGAACTCTTTAGTTTTCATGTGAGAAACGCTGAGAGATCATTTGGCTCTGGTGCAAACAAACCCCCTTTGAAATCACTGGGATCTTTGCTCCTTTCTAAGTTACCCAGTTATGCTAATAAACAGATACATTGTTCCATGAATCTTGAGTCAGAGACTTTCAAATGCTTCTGGGATCTGTTCCTTTAGGCTGCAGGCAAACGTGCCTCTTGTGTAATGCTAAAAGAAGAGATTCAACTCCAGCATGCCCAACTCTTGCTTCAGCTTCCTATCCAAGTCAGTCAAAAAGGTTCTCTGTTATCTGAATAAGAAGCAAAGATCAAATAAGCTGAAAAGGAAAAAATCATAGGTACATTCTCAAAATAATCATAGTTACATTCTCAACAATGAGGAAAAAGAAAGGAGGCAGGATGCAGCACAGTTCTTCTGTTTGCCAAAGATTCACAACAAACCACTTTATAAGGGTGGATCCAGTGTTTGATAGACCTTGGGGACATGGTCTTTGTGGCAGATCAAACTCTAAGACTAATTAGTAACATTATTATCAGGGGGGAATGTTTAAATGCATTGAACTTCACAGGTGATTATTAGTGCAAGGGAATAAAATTTCAACCTAAGGAAAACTTTAACTGGAATACCACAACATGCTTCAAAAATGGGAGTCCCTGATCCAAAAGTATTTCTTTTTTCTTCTTGTCTGTGAGACTGCATTTGGAATGAAAACGGAAAGGTGCAGAAGAAAAACAAATGTTTCAATATTGAATCCTGAGTATAGTTGAATTATGTGTGTCCCCTGTGAAATTATGTCCTAATGACAGAGCAAGAACAAGTTAAGTTTGCAGGTTTTGGTTCATTTTCTCTGTATTTTAGCACAACTGAAATAACAAAAAAACCCCAACCCCCTAGAATGGAGCATTGCAGCACAACACAGAAAACGATGAGTTGCGAGGCAAATGTACGAGTCAGCACTTTAATCCATTCCTTCCTGCTCAGTTCCAAATAGTGACGACTGCTAAACTCAGCTTTGGATACCTCTTTTGGCTTGCTTTGTATAACCTTGATCTTCTCTTTCAGTTCAGCTCTCACGTCAGAAGTATCTTCTTGATTAAATTTATAATGAGCCATGTATCTTCCTCCCCCCCCCCCCCCACCACCACCCC